AATGATCTCAAAGGATAATTTGGACTAAACCCTAGCAGTAAGAGGCATGGCATAATTTAAAGTGGGAAACTTAAACATTTTAAAAATGTCATGGGTGAAGTAAGAAATTTATTATGTTAATATTCAGCATACTTACCTGTTTCTAAACATAGTTTTGGTATAAGAATTTGATAATTTATAAGATGATCAAGCTTTAACTTGTATCCTAATAACTATCTTCAATAGCTTATAATTTACATATGACTTATCCTTAATAAGTACAGTTTAGGTCGGGAAATCATGTGCATTTTTACAATGACTACTGATGTTAAGCATGTTTTTGTTTTTTTGGTTGTGAAACAGGGTCTCACTATATACTCCTGGCTGGCCAGCCTGGAATTCCCAGAATACTGTGATGAAAGTTGTGCACCACCATGCCTGGCCCATAAGCATTTTTTTCTTTTTTTCATTTTTGGTTTTTTGAGACAGAGTTTCTCTATGTAGCTCTGACTGTCCTGGAACTCACTTTGTAGTCCAGACTGTCGTGGAACTCACAGAGATCCACCTGCAAAAGCCTCCTGAGTGCTGGGATTAAAGGCATGTGACACTATGCATGACTCCACAGCAGTACTTTTTTATGGTTTTTTCCCAGGCAGGGTTTCTCTTTGTAGTTTTGGTACCTGTCCCAGATCCCACTCTGTAGACCATGCTGGCCTCAAACTCACAGCTATCTGCCTGCATCTGCCTACAAAGTGCTGGGATTAAAGGCATGTGCAACCACTGCCTGGCTCCCGTAGCATTTCTTTATGTGTTGTTCTAGTTAGCTTTCCAGTTACCCTGATAAAATGCCACAACCCAAACCAACTTGGCAGTTAGGGGCTTATTTGGCTTAAATGTCTTGGTCAGGGTGTGTCATTGAGGGAAGTGCAGGCAAGAACCATGGGTAAAGCTTCCTGGCTTCCACCCACAACTTGCTCAGCTGCTTTTCTCATAGGGCCCATAAGAAAGGGGCTATCTGCAAGGGGATAGCACTGGGTCCTCTTCCACCAAACAGTAATTAAGAAAATGTCTTTCCAGCCAATGTAATGGAGATGATTCTACAACTGAGGTTTTTCTCTTTCCATGAGTCTGTCAAATAGACAAAAACTAAGTAGCATGTCTTTATTGGTCATCTGTTTCTCTTTCTTTTAAAAGGAATGTCAGATCTTTTTCTTCTTTTTGATTTGAGCTGCTGGTGGTTTTTATTGTTACTATTGTTGAACTGTGAGAGTTCTTTATATATTTTGGCCCATGTTCAGATGTACGATACATAACATTTTTTGGCACTTGAAAATTGTCTTTCAACTTTCTTGATCCATGGTCTATTTATTACTTGTTAATAGTGCTTTAACTGGCATACCAACTGTACGTAATCTGGAGAAATAGATTGTGATCTTTGATGTTTGGGTACAAGACAGAATGATCAAGTAAACTATTTAACATGCACTATCCCATTTATCTCACATTTATTATGGAATGACATTGGAAATTTGTCTTGGCTACTCTGAAATATACTTTGCCATTGACTACAATTTTCTATGGGTTACTTCTAACCTGCTCCTCTTTACAAAATGAAATTTACATCTTGCTACTGACAGCTCCTTGGTGTTTCCTTCCCACAACCAGTTAGAATTCCTTATTTATTTATTTATTTATTTATTTACTTACTTACTTACTTATAATATATACAGTGTTTTGCCTACACACCAGAAAGGGACACCATATTTCATTATAGATGGTTGTAAACCACCATGTGGTTGCTGGGAATTGAACTCAGGTACTCTAGAAAAGCAACCAGTGCTCTTAACCCCTGAGCCATCTCTCCAAACCCAGTCCAGGGATTATTTCCTGGAGGCAAATACTAATAGGCACTGGTGAAAGGTCAGGCCATTGTTCACATTTAAGGATAAGTTGCAGACATAGCAATAATTATTTACCATATGTCCTACTACAGGGAAATTGAGACAGGAAACCCAGTCACTGAGTATGAGTCACATAGGCCATCAGTGGCACAAGCTATCTGTCCACAGCCACATCTCCAGCCTCCCCACCACAGAGACCTATTAGGTGACTCTCAACTCCTCTAGATCATTTCATAGACTCACTATTCTTATAGGACTCCCAGATTCATGTCAAACAACATTAAATACCAACAAGAATAGCGCACCAGTGGGCATGCATGACCTAAATGTCAGCCAGGTCCTGAGCTGTGTGAGATCTCTGACAGGCTGTCAGGTTTTTCAGGGAAGCTCAATGGGAAGACGAATCATAATATATCTGTAGGACAGCCCTGAACAGCAAAGGCTTGGAGGACTCTGGTCTACACACAGCAGGAGAGGTCAGTGTTGCTAGAGGGAACCAAACCTTGTGTCTGAAGGAAGGCAAAGGTTCAATGAGGACCAGGAGATAAAATGAGGTCTCTGATTCCAAGTCTTGAGTCTGACCATCACCAAACACTGCAGTTCAGTTCACTCATGAAAAAGTCCTTGCTTCTCCCATTTACAGCACAGGAGGCTCCATTATCTCGGAGCATTCAGCCACTCCATCTACCTGTAATTTGCTTCCTGCCTGATTCTTTAAGGTTCTGGGTTTGCTTGAGTTACGAGACTATCTCTGGTTGTAAGAGGCCTTTGCAAGAATCAGAAGTACCACACAAGGCAATCATCTCTCTGTGGGCAGCACAGCACTGCTACCCAAGCCCAACATCACAACCAACAATTCCAATCCCTTGGACGGTAATGACTCAGTAGCATTAGTGTGTGATCCTAAGACTCAGAATAAAAACTACCTGTGGACAATAAATGACCAAAGCCTCTCAGGAGAGAACAGGCTGAAGCTTTCTTAGGAAAACAGGACTCTCATTTTACTCACTGTTGTGAGGACTGACACAGGACCCTATGAATGTCAACATGGAACCCAGAGAGTGCCTCCCCAAGTGAACCATTCTCTCTGAACACTACCTGTAAGTATTTTCTGTTTCATCCTGGCCCCAACTGCCTAAATACAGAGGGCTAGATCTACCATACTTGGTCCCAGTCCCCTGGATTCATGACACACACCTTACAGATACCTAGGCTGCCAGGACATCTCATTCTGGGTCAAGCATAGGTGGACAGACCAAGCATTGAGCTTGAATGGGATGCAGGGACTTTTGCCTAGAGAGGCTCACGGTGATGGAGACAGGGGAAATGTCAGACTCAGGCTCAGTGCACACATGAGTGTGCAGTGGGGATGTTTCTGTGTTGTGCTTGAGATAGAACAGGACTTGTGCATGCTGAATGAGTACTCTTCTACTAATCTCCTCCCCAACTCTGGGCAGGACCTGCTCAAATAAGGTTAAAGCACAGCTCAAAGAGATACTATGTCCTTTTACAGACCAAGAATTCCATTTCCCTCTGCTGACATCATATGTGACGTTATTCTGTTTGCTCCAGATGGTCCAGGTGTTCCAATCATATCCCCTCAATATTCATTTCCATTCAAGGACAAACCCCAGCCTCTCCTGCCATGCAGATGCTAACTCACCTGCACAGTCCTCTTGGTTTGTCAATGGAGAGTTCCAGTCTTCCTTCCAAGAGCTCTTTATCCCAACATCAATACTAATAATAGCAGATCCTATTCCTGCCTTATCTATAAGTTTTTCCCTGGAGTCAATAGGACCAGAGTGAAGAACTGTACAGTTCTTAGTAAGTGGATTTCTGAAATATCAGTATCAGGTTTGAAGTGGTGTCTCTTGGCTTTTTGGGAAGTTACAGAAGCATTTAATTTCCTGACCATGTCTATAGGAACAAGCAAAACTCAGTCTTCCCCAAAGCCTCCTGCTCCATCCCTATGGCTAATGGCCTCCTGGTTCTCTGATTTCTGGCTGATAGGGATGGAGCTTGCAATGTGAGGAGGAGGTTCTCCCAGCCTTGGAAAGCCTTTGCTTGTGTGAGGGACTTTCCATGGTTAGGAGAGCCTCAAGGTCAAGATATCTTTCTGTGCCTAACACAAGCTTTCCTGTCCCCTCCATTTTATGACCTCCATGACCTACAAGGAACACCCAGGGCTTTCAACTGTGCTCACATTCTTATTCTCCAAATTGAAGGAGAAAATTCCCCACAGATGGGGACTAGACCTCTGCTCACAGGTCTGTTCCTGTCTCATGGATGAGGTGGCTGGCTCAGCTCTGATTCCATGGGATGGGAAAAGTGGGTGGAGAAGGTGTCTGGGGGCCCTGTTCTGAGTCAGGGTGAACTATGTCATTGACAGTTGATGATGCTCTTTTGCTTACTCTTCTCAAGGTTCAAAAAACAAATGTCAGCTGAGTGTGGTGGCACCCATCTTTAATGCCAGCACTGAGGAGGGAGAACAGGTAGATAGTGTGAGTTTGAGGACAGCTTGGTCTACATAGCAAGTTCCAAGCAATCTAAGACTGTACTCTGAGACCCTGTCTCAAAAATTATCAGTACTGAGGATTAGAGTGGCTGGCTGTGGTCAGCACTGTGATTATTCACTTTTTCTCTGTAGTATTTAATCCATATCTATGGGGCAGGAAATACAATTTTTACTACAAACAGAAATTTTTCAATTAGGGATTTCTCCCAGTCCTGAGGTCTAGGCTTTAACACCTTTAATATGAGCTGGGACATTTTTACCCCACGACAATTATTTAATAAAAAACAAACAGAAGGCTATTTCATAAAGGAGGGACCTGACTGTTCACACTCACAGAAAGTGTAAGAATTCCCACAAAAACCATTCCTCCCACCTATAATATCTGGACATTTGGGCTGAAGAGACTCCCCGGGTGAAATCTACACAAATACCCTGAGTCAGGGTCACTGTTATTGATCTTGGTAGGAGTAATTTTCAGCTCTCTCCTTACAGACCATATCTTGAACCTAAACATGTGGTCTTGCAGAGGGTCACTTCATTCTATGGAACCTGGGAGCTGGCTGAGTGAAAGACTCTCAGCTGGTCCCGTCTCTGTTTATCCACAGATCCAGTGACTCCACCCTCCATCCAAGTCACCAACTCCACAGTCAAAAACCTGATCTCTGTGTTCCTGACCTGCTTGTCAAATGACACTGGGATCTCCATCCATTGGCTCTTTCAAGGTCAGAATCTAGTGATCAGCAATAGAATAAGCCTGTCTGAGAACAACCGCACCCTCCAAATAGACTCTGTGAGGAGTGAGGATTCCGGGGATTATCAGTGTCAAGTATCCAATCAAGTCAGTTCCAAGAGGAGTGACCCCATCCAGCTGGACATAATACGTGAGTGACCTCTGTTGCCTCCTTACTCCATAGTATTGGGGGTAGGGGCAGTTTCTTTATCAATAGAATGGAAAATGGGCCAAAGTCACAAGGAGAAAAACTTGGTTCAAAATAAATATACAGCCAGCTTGGTGATGGATGCGTGTTAATCTTATGATACAACACCAAGCAAGGTGAGCACAGTGCTGCATGCCTTTAATGCCAGCACACCAGAGGCGGAGACAGTTTGATTTCTATGAGTACCCAACCACCCTGGTCTTTTTAGGCAGTTTCAGGTTAGCCAGAGCTACATAATGAGACCCTGTCTCAGAAGAGAGAATGCATGAAGCAGGAGGCATAGAAGTACAAGGCCAGCTCAGATTACATTGTGAGACAACAATAGATGTCAATATAGCAACTAGAAATGCAAAATGATTAAGATTTTAGTGTCAGAGTTAGACACAGAGTCAACCCTCAGAATCTAGGAAATTATTCCTGTTACTCTACACCTCCTTTACACATTCAAATCTTCTTTAGATTATTTTTAATTCCTAATATGAACATTACATAGACATTAGTCTTATTGTGTTGAGTACAGGACCATGATAGGAGGAAACAATACATTTTTCACTGTGGAGATACTTTTCCAAAAAGATGGTTTCCCAGATTTTGATCCATAAAAGATAAAAAGGACCTGTATTGAGTTTCTTATTACATTTGCATATTTGTTTATTTTGTGTGAATGTTCAACACCAATGTGTGGAGGTCTGGGCAAAATTTGTGGAACAAATTTTCTGGGGACAGGGGATTGAACTCAGGTGGGTGATCAGGCCCTTTATCTGATAAGTCATTTCACTGGCCCACATTTGTTTGTACATTTTTTTCTGTGTGGCAGTTTAGGATAGGAACTGGGAGGGTTCCTATCCCAAGTGTGTACTCTTCCCAACAGAGTAGGCACTCTTCCCAACAGATCCATTTTGGCGGTCCATATACTGAGTTTCTTATTCCCATACTACTGTTTGCAGCATGACATCCTTGAACGAGACTCTTTTTTCTGATAATTGTTTTTTGTGGTGTGTAGTAGTATGTGTGTGTATATATATTATGGTTTATGGGACTGGAGAGCTATCTCAATAGTTAAGATCCTTAGCATCTCTTCCCAAGGACAGGGGTTTAATTCCCAGCACCCACATGACAATTTATTACTGACTGTGACTGAAGTTCCAAGCAATTCAAGACCCTTTTCTGTATTTTTCAGGTACCACACATGCATGTGATTCAGAGACATATAAGCAGCCAAAAGGCCCATATGATGCATCTGGCATCACAACAAAGACATCATTTGAAATCCAATTTCAAGATGCTTTCATCCTGTCTCCTAAAAGTCTGATGACTTTAATCTCTGTTCCATTTTAGGTCTTTGATCCATTTAGAGTTGAATTTTTATGTTGTTATGTGAAGACTTAACTTCATTCTTTCACCTGGATATCCTATTTTCCTAACATCCCTTGTTTAACTGATTATTCATCCATCATTGAACAATCTTAGCAGCCTGATCAAAACTCATCTGGTCACAGAGGTTCAGATGGACAGCAAGAATGCCTTCCAAATTGTGTAACTCAATAGGACAACTCTGTTTCACACCACTTAATTCAAAAGAGCCAGCAGAAATGAATGTTTTTAACAAACATAAAAAGTGACAGATGAAATGCTGGATATGCCAACTGTGCATATCTAACACACATTATAATATATATGCAAAACTGTGCCCCATAAACACACATATTGATCATATCAACTAATCTTTAATTTAATCATGGCCAGTGTGCATGAGCAGTTCTGGGCTTTCCAATTCTATGTTACTGATCTGTATGTCTGCCTTTATGTCAGTAGTAGACTATATTGATTCTTGCAGCTTTGTACAAAAATTGTGAAATCATGTTGGTTATTCAGCAATTTTACACTTTTTTTCAAGATACTTTTAAAAACAGGTATAGTGTGCTTGCTCTAACCCCAGCTCTTGGGAGCAGAGACAGGTGGATCTCTAGGAGATTGTGGCCAGCCTGATCTATATAGTGAGTTCCAGGATAGCTAGAATAGAATTTTCTATTTCTGTGCAAAATGCCACTGGGGTTTTTATCTCATGTGCATAGAACTGATAGACTACATTCAGTAGTCTATCTATGTCATCTATTTTTAAAAATGTCTTTCAAGCAAGCTAGCCACTTGAATCCTGTGATTCTAGCCACTCAAAAAGCTGAGGCAGGAGTACCAAAGTTCTAAGAGTGACTACCACAGCCAATTCAAGGCCAGCCTGATTAATTTAGTGGTATTCTGTTTCTAAATAAAAAATAAAAGGCAGAGCTTAGAGTATAGCATAATGGTGGACCATTGCTTACCAAGCACAAAGCCCTGGGTTCAATCCCAGTACTACAGAACAACAGTAATAATGAGATTAAGTCTTCCAACCCACCAACCCCAATGGCTGTCATTTCTTGTCTTTTTTCATCATCTCTTATTTGGGAGTTTGCTGGATGTAAGACTTTTTTCTCCTTGGTGGAATAAATTCTAAGTATTTTATTTTTTTTGGCGATCTCATAAATAAATACTTTCTTAATTTCCTTTCCAATTTTTCACTGTTAAGGCTGGGTCTATTGCTCAAGGGTTGAACACATACTGGGCATGCTCGAGGCCCTAGGTTCAAGCTCCACTACAATGAGGAAAAACGAAAATCTAGTTGTTCATGGTCAATATTAGTATACAGAAATACATCTCATTTGGGCATGTTCAATTCATTAGTCAACAATTTTGCTGATTTAGTTTAGAAAACTTTTTGTACACTGTTAAGGATTTTCTATAACAATTTCTTGTCATGTATCCCGAGAATCTTGAACAGAAGTGGTCACAGCAGCTTGCTGTGCTCTTCCTGATCTTAGAGAGAAAGAGTCAGTCTCCCCATTGAATATGATGTTGGTTGTAGGTTTCCATGTGTGGCCTTTGTTACACTAAGCTGAACTTCTATCCAGTTTCAGTGTTTTTATCATCAAAGTCTGTGAAATTTTGTCAATTTTTTGTTGATTCAATCTTATTAGTTATATAGCTATTAGATTTTGTTTCTTTCAATATTCCATCTCTAAAGAATCCATGTTGGTTTATAGGAATTTGTCCATTGCATCTAGGCCACCCAACAGTTCATGTAATTACTGAAATCTCTTGAAATTCTTCATATTCTTGAGAGTGGATGGTGAAGTCTCAAATTTTAGTAATATCCATATCTATTTTTCAAAGTAAATTTGGGAAAAGGTTGCTAATGTTGTTAATCATTTTTGAAGAACCAACATTTGGTGCATCAGCTTTCTTTGCAGTTACTCTAGTCTCTGTTTAGTTTATCTTCATTCTCATCTTTAGTTTTCTCCTTCCACTAGCTTGGGGGGACGTTTAAGGGGCAAACTTCACAATCCTCTTGGCTCAGGCTCTGATGCTAGGATGCTAGGTTATATCACATCCTTCACCTACCTCATCATAGTTTGTAAAAAATTAATATAATAATCAAGTAACCTTTTTGCAAAATACCATACACACAGGAAGAAAAAATGTTAGCCAAAATTATTCCTACCACTAATGTTAGCCTTGAAGCCAGTTAGCCAGGTCTATCTCTGATTAACCATGCAGATTTAAGTACTTTTTAAAAACCACTTTAAGCTCTAATTTTTCATCCTCTGAATGGAAATAATTTCTATGTGACAGACTCATCATATAAATGAAACGAGACACAAATACAGGGCCAGCCACACCATAAATACCATACCACAATGGCCAACATTAGCATTAATAATCACTCTTGAGCAGACTGGTGGGTTTGAGCACCAAATGGTTACAACAAGGAGTATAGAGGTGAGTGTGGCATTGGTACATAAGGGACGTGGGGAGACACATGTTATCCAAAACTTCTAACCACTGTAACATGGCTACTAAATAAAATGGGACAGAAATAAGGAGGGGGATCTGATGCCAAATTTCAAACCTGGTAATTTACTAATTTCATCCTCCAGGATGTGGCCATTATGGGCTGAGACAGGCAAACTATTAGTTGAGGAATATACTTGTGAAGGTGATCCTGAGATAGCCCTCAGGACACATGCAGATATGCTCTCTCTGGAGGCAAAGAAGGAGGCATGTCTTAGATTGCAGCGCAGTTTCAACAGAGTTTCTGCACGGTCAAGCCTGGGTTCCCCACAGTCACCAAGCATAGAGGAATGGGGTCTTACAGGGTCTGCCTTGCTTTCCTACCCCACTGCAGAAACCATGGTCTCTGCAGAGGAGCTGGTACAATGAGAGTCAATAGCCTGGGCCTTCTGTCATTTAGATCACAGCCAAAAGAGACCACTTATTCATGATTGCCACACCTGAGACCCTGAGAAAAAGGTATAGCCATAGGAACACTGGATATTCAACACACAACTATGCAATCACCCTGCCTCACATTTGTAGATGTAACCAATTGTCTTATTAAAATAAGAAACACAGAGCCAATGTAAAAGAGAAAGCCGAGAGGTCAGAGCTCAGAGATAAAATCTGACCTCCTGCAGTGCTCCTAACTTCCCCAAAAGAGAGAGCTTCTTCCTGTTTGTCTGTCTTTAAATAGTCTTTCTGTTCTGCCTTCTCATTGGTTGTAAACCCAACCACATGACTGCCTCGTAACTGCCTGTAAGTACCGCCCTCCAGGTCTTAAAGGCGT